ATGTTGTATGGCCCCGGCTATGCACAGTATATATGTGACTGTATGAAAATGAAAAATGGAAAATAAAAACATTTTAATAGCAAAAAAGAAAGAAAGAAAATGAAAATAGAGTAGTAACATTAGATGCAATACAGTATATGGTATATATTTCCTAGGGCTGTGCACTATTGAATTCAAAGGTAAGACAGTTCTTTGCAGTACCCAAGTGGCTGTAGTAGTACCTGCCTATGGCTCTTAATCCCAAGAACATCTTTAGACAGAATAGCACTGCAGGTTTGAATACAATTCTGAGAAGAGATGTGGCTGGTTTAAGGAGTTGCAGATGGGTGCTGTGTCCGTTTCCTACAGACACCAAAGTACCTTTTCCCCTTGGAACCTAAAGTGTGGTACATCCCCAGTGTTTATTGTCTAAATAATTCAAGGTACTCCATTTAGTTTTAAACTAGAAATACAAACAAGAATATCTGAAAAGCTCAGGAGGATCTTCAGCCAACACAAGTGCACGCTTTCTACACAAGAGTACACTCAGGTAGAAGCTTGTCCACCCAAGGATAAAACACCCAGGCACAAACTAAGCAACGTAACATATGCAGTACAATGCAGTGAGACATGTGCAGATCTGTACATTGGAGAAACAAAACAACCACTTCATAAACGCATGGCACAGCATAGGAGAACAAATAAGGACAAGATTCAGCAGTCCATCTGCATTTAAAAGACAAAGACCACTCTTTTGAAGACAACAAAGTCCACATTTTGGACAGAGGGGACCACTGGTTTGAAAGAGGGGTCAAAGAGGCTATCCTATGTCAAAATTGAACCGCCCTCTCTCCACAGAGGGAGGAGGGATAGGAGATCATCTATCTCCAGTCGACAACACAGACCTTTCAACAGTTCCAAAAAGGCTTCACAGCCATTTGCACTACTCAGATGACCCTGAGGACATAGATAAACTTCCAAGTGGCCTTAATGACTCTCTAAAAGAATGCAAATGACCAGCTGTCTCCAAGGAGTATAAATCCTTCCATTCCCCTCCATCCAGTCCAGTGGTGGGATTCAAATAATTTAACAACCNCCCCCCCCCCCCATGTATAAGACAATCCTCCATTTTTAGGTAAATATTTTAAAGAAAAAGTGTCATCTTATACACAGAAAAATATGGTACTTCACAGTTCAGTAACTTCTCAGCCTGGTTGTAATGTAAAGGTAAGCCCTTGACTTACAACCACAATTGGAACCAGAATTTTCATTGCTAATCAAGGTGGTTGTTAAGTGAGTCTCACCTGATTGTACACCCTTGTTTTGCTGGTTGTTAAGTGAATCGGTGCAGTTGTTAAGGGAAACATGCAGTTGTTCCGTGAATCTGGCTTCCTCCCCAATTGACGTTGCTTGTCACAAACCAGCTGGGTAGATTGCAAATGGCCTCACAGCAACAGTTGCAAATACAGGCTGATTGTTGCCCAGCTTCCAAATTTGAATCATGTGACTGTTGGAATTCTGTGGCGGTTGTAAGTGCAAGGACCGGTCACAAAAAAGTCACTTTTTTTTCAGTGCTGTTGTAACTTTGAACGGTCTCTAGATGAATAATTGCAAGTCGATGACTAGCTATAATACTAAAATAGAGACATCTTGATAAACTATCACATGTTAAGAAATTCCTTCCAAAGAACAGAGACCTTTTCTTTATTAAGATGCATTATGACACTGTCAGTGTCAGCTACAGTATATTCATATCCAAAATTTTTAAACCTGTAAAGATTTTCAACAATTTGTTCCTCTTGCTGGTTTCCCAACATTTATTGTAAACCCATTACAAGCACATTTAGGGAGGGGGACCAGGTGGGAAGAAATAAAGTTTTCAGGTCATCAAAGGAGAGATTACAAGAATGCTAAAAGTAGGAATCTTATTCGTCCACAACACAGCCAAAAAATATAGCTAAACTAGGCTGGGAGAAGTAAATGCTTCACTAGTGACATACAGCATCTCCCAAACACGTTGTTATGACCCAGGTGGTCAGGGCGAGGCAGGCCTCTAGAGCAGGGATCGGCAACCTTAAAACCTTAAAAGAGCCACAAAGATCCTAAACAAAAGCTCCCCGTTCAATTCTGGAGCTGACCAGAAGTTCAGTTCCCCCATCATAGAGTCTCCTCCTAGCGCAAAGTCCTTTTTCCTCTACCTGTCCTAACCGAAAGCCCTATCAATTGTGACACCAACTGGCAACAGGGAGCCGCAGCAGAGGGATGAAAGGGCCACATGTGGCTCCAGAGCCACGGGTTGCTGACCCCTGCTCTAGAAAGTCCTTTATTTCTCTCAACAAATGTTCCAGCAAACGTCCCTCTGAAGACCAGTAAGGCTCCACCATGCTACCTCAAAGGCAGCCATCTGCAGTCCCCTCCCCCCAAAAAAACAGCCCCTATAGTACAAATAACATCCCCAGAGTAGGGACACACTCACAGGGCAAGGTCCAGGGTTCCAAGGCCAATCCACAAGGCAGAGTCCAGTCACAAGACAATGGCAGTCTTCAAGTTGAAAAAAATCCAAGACAAGATACAGTTCCACAGGCACAGAGAAGCAAAGGCCAAAAGCGGACCAGAAGAGAAGGGCTAAGGGCAAGACAAGACAGAAGGCAAAGACCAGTCTTCCAAGTGAGGCAAGGCAAACTGCAACAGGCACGAATCAAGGCCAGGGAAGTGTAAGCCAAAGCAAACAATTGTTCTTGGCAAAGACTAACTTGCCATGGCTTCCATTTAAATTACTCCACTCCAGGTTTTCCTTGTGAGGAGGGGTAGGGCGATCTCCTCTTGTATAGCCTTGCAGCCATTCTCTGGTTTGCCTACACTCTGCTCTCTGTGCCCTTGGATCAAGTGGGGGAGGCAGCTGTTCCTCATCAGAGGGGGTCTGCTGGCTATCAACACCACTGCATGTCAGCAACCGATCCTCCCCTGTGTCTGTGAGGGCAGGCAGCTCTCTGTCCGGTCCACCACCTCCCCCAATGCCTGAGGGGCTCGGGGCAGCATCGTCCTCTCCAAATATGCCAAGGGAGATGTGCCATCCCCATCAGACGATCCCTATTCCAACTTCTCCTCTTCCAAACCAGGCTCCTATGGGGTCATGACACACATTAACTGTAATGGAAACATGTCAACGGTGTCTAGGAAGGCACTTAAAATCAATAGTGGAGAGATGGCTGTTGACATGTAGATGTGATATGAATAGATAGACTTAAACTGAGAATTGAGACCTAAACATTCCATGTCCCAGTTCTCAGTGATGTCAATCCCTATTAACAATCCAGAACTGTAAGCTCATATTGTTTTAAGTCTCAAAGTTGGTATCTTCTTTTCTTATCCACTCTCTTAAGAACTCAGGGCCATTAAGGCAGGCCTACAGTAGAAACCACAATGATGTCACAATACACTTACTAATGACTTGAATTAGGCCAGTTGCATAATTAATGTCATTTGCATGATGATATCATGACTCAGTTAATAACTACCTACCTTTCCTGTGGACACCCTTCTATGCACACAAAGACAGAAACAAATTAATCACGTTAAGGGGGAAGAGGAAATAATGAGTAAGCCTGAGGAGAGCATTTTGGCCTACTATCCATCATTCTAAAGAACTGTCACTGCTAGCGTGGATATAATACCTAAAGATATTAGAACTAAGGTATTAATTCGAATTTAGATATTAGACCTAGATTTAAAATTAGTCATAGAACTAATGAGTAATTTCCTAACAGTTGGAATAATTAATTGGTGGAATGACTTGCCTCCAGAAGTTGTGGGTGCTCCAGCGCTGGAAGTTGTTAAGAAAAGTTTGGACAACCATTTGTCTGAAATGCTGTAGAGTTTCCTGCCTGAGCATGGGGTTGGGCTAGAGGACCTCCAAAGTCCCTTCCAACTCTGTTATTCTTAATGAGAGAGCAATTATTATACAATGATACTGCATCAGGGATGAAATGCTACTGGTTTGGACCGGTTCGCTCGAATTAGTAGTAAAAAATTCTACCGGTTCGCCTGAACTGGTAGTTAAAAAATGCTACTGGTTCAAACGAACCGGTAGTTCCGACAATGAGCTGTGCGACAATGAGCTGTGCCGCGGGATTAGAAATTGTGCAGCACAGCTGATTGTCACACAGCTGATCCTCCGGTAGCATTTTTTTCCTACCAGTTCAGGTGAACCGTTAGCTCCAACAATCAGCTGTGCAACAATCAGCTGTGCCGCGTGATTTATATTTGCTAGAAAGCAGGAAATCCTGCTTCCTAGCTAATCTAAATCCCATGGCACATCTGTGTGTCCCCCTTGCTGTTCTTCTTACCTTTGCAGACTCAGAAAGGGATTCTTATTTCTCAATTTTTAGCACTGCACAGTAGTACCTGCTGGGCGTATGTGCGCAAAGCACATATTTGGCACACATGCGCGCGAAGCAAATAGATAGCAGACTTCAGAGAATTTTACCCCTGTACTGCATCATAACAGTATTCTTGTTCCACAGAATGAGGCAGGTTTTTAGGGGCTCTTTCATAATGTGTTATTTTTGTCTCAAGTTCTATTCAAGGTATACTGTGTGGATCACACGTACACCACCATCCGCATTCCAGTTTTGTCATCTGTTAAAGAAGTCCTCTCTGCAATAGCCGACAAACTGGGCTCTGGAGATGGCTTGATATTGGTCAAGATGAGCTCAGCAGGAGGTAAGGCAGCAGGATAACTTGCCTGAATATATCCTGAGGTGGCAAATCATGGTGGAATGAATATACTGATTTTCCCAATATTTCTCAAATTGAAAATAACAGGAATTGTTGTCCATTATCTCTGAAGGCACCAAGGAAAGGCTCACTTGATAAGTTGATCTATTAGTAAAGGTGTGGCCAAGTATATATTTGTCCTTTTTAAGGCCTATATGGTATCTTCTGGTTGCTCTTGTCAAAATAGGTATAGAAAACATGAAAGAAGCAACCTTAAGTGATATCTGTTAAATAGCAACAGCACTTAGATTTATACACCACTTCACAGTGCTTTACAGCCCCCTCTAAGCGGTTTACAGAGTCAGCCTATTGCCCCCCAACAATCTGGGTCCTCATTTTACCCACCTTGGAAGGATGGAAGGCTGAGTTCAACCTTGGGCCTGGTAAGATTTGAACTGCCAAATTGCAGACAACCAGAAGTAGCCTGCAGTACTGTAGTCTAACCACTGCGCCACTACAGCTCCTAAATAAAAGATAAAACTTCGCTGAGGAGCTAATTCCTTGAGGCAATATGGATACATCCGGGCTGATTTCTTAGCGTTAAAGGAAAGGCTGATCGTTTTATTGTCATCGTGATGATTTTCCAGCTATCCAATTTGCCTGAAACCACAGGATTTCCAATGTCTCCCATTCCTATTTTCATCAAGTCTGACCCGCCTTAGCTTTTTGTGTTCAGTTAGACTCAAATAGCAGGTGACGCCACCTGCTATCAATTATATATTACGTTACTTTACTTCTGTTGCATTAGTATTCTGTTCCCCTATTAAAATTCCACACCCAAAACATATCCATAATGTTATAATCCGTTCTTTAAAATGGGAATCTGTTACCCAATTAAGTTTCTTGTTATAATTTGACCTCTTCTCCACATTTGAAGGGACCGCCCTTGTATCTGTGATTTTCTTATCCTTGATCTGTGAATTTAAGTTTGCCAAATCGACATCAGATCTTGTTATCTGTGATAAAAGATTTTATATCAATTCAACTTGGGAAGAGCGTGTGTGTTTGTGTGTGTGTGTTCCTGTTCATGTTCTACACATGTGCAACATATTAACCGAATTCGATGCATTTTTTCTTTTTGTTTTATGCCTTCAAATTTGTGTTGACTCTTTGACAACTGCCTGGGCTAGGCCCTGTAGTTTTCTTGGTAAGATTTTCAGAAGTAGTTTGCTTCTGCCTTCTAGGGTTGATAGTGTCCCAAAATTACCTAGCTGACTTCATGACTAAAGTAATACTAGACTCCCTGTCACCTGGTTTTTAACCTGGTGCCTTAACAGTGGTGGGTTTCAAAATTTTTTGAACCTACTCTGTGGGTGTGGCCTCCTTTGTGGGAGTGGCTTGCNCCTTAAAATCTGGCTATCCCGTCAGGCCTGGGGTTAAGATTGTAATCCGTCCCCACCCGAATGATGAATGTTGTGTTCTATTTTAATTATGTATTATTCTTGTGTCATTGTTTGTATTCCCTTCCCTATAAATTGTAAGCCGCCCTGAGTCCCCCCAGGGAAAAGGGCGGCCTATAAATAAATTTTCCATTCCATTCCATTCCAAAGCACAATAAATTTGGCAAGCATGGATTATTTTTCTTTTGTATGGAGCTATTAAGCTAAATCTACTTGAGGGAAAATGTCTTCCTGTGTCTATGTTAACCTATGAACTGGTTTGAGGTTAGGATGGATTTGCCCAGAACATTAATTATTACACAAATGTTTTACACAACTCTGTGCTTCAATTTTATATATCTAAATGTTCTAGAACACTCTTCTCAAACTTGTATCTTCTAGATCAGGGGTGTCAAACTTGTGGCCCACTGGCTGGATGTGTCACATACTGGCCACGCCCACACCCGGTTTAGCAAAGGGGAGGGGAAAATTCGCAGTACGTCATGTGACCATGATGTGATGTGGCAAGTTTGAAACCCGTGTTCTAGATGAATTGGGCTACACATCTCATTATCCATAGCTAACAATTTAAGGGACTTGGATTGATGATCAGTGGGAGAACACATCTGGAGATATTAAGATGAGGAAGGCTGCAGGGGTACAGCGTGTCTCAAGTTCTGCAACTTTAAGATGTGTGGACCAACTCCCAGAATTTTTCAGGCTGTATACATAGAAATGGAAGCCTGGGTGTTGAAGTCCACATATCTTAACGTTGGAAAGATTGAGAAAAATTGCACTAGTCATTAGCTTGGCCTTAGTTATCTTAATAATTTGGGATGGAATGTGTATAGCGGCACATGTCCTTTTAAATTTAAATTAACAGTGGTTTAAGTAAATCACAAAAGGCAAGTTTCTAAATTCTCAATTGGACGTTAGTTTCATTGGTTCATGTGTTGATCGTAATTGTGGCAGGCTGGCTCTCAATTCCGTTCAAATCTATACATAATGAATACATATCCAACATGCCAGAAGGTGTCTTTAGTCCTTCTCAGCACGGAGAGCTAACACAATAGAAACAAAATATATAATATTTTTTTTACTGTATACATCTTGATTTTTTTTTGTTCTCTATTATATCCAGTAGAGGGCAGTAGTGTATACAGAAAAGAAGAAAAGTGAATTCCTTTTCTTAATAATTAGCGGAGAAAATGTTATACAACTGAACCGTTTGGTACAACTTCCATCTGCCGATATATCTGTGTGTTTTAATAAGAAAAAAATAATAGAAAATACATTATTATTATTATTGAGACAATGAGCTATAGTTAATCTATCTGTGTTGGTGTCTTGGAATTCAACTTTCTGTTTGCTTCTATGTTTTTTTAAAAATATATTTGCCTTGGCAAATTGAGAAGCTCAAATGCTCTGCCCCCAAAAGTTCCTGCACTCACAAAAGAACATGCCTAGAGTTCTGGATCAGCTCCTAGGTTCTTTCACAGAGTGGGATGAAGGGAAAGACAAGGCCAAAGTTGATCGGCTGCCATTTCAGCCTCTCTCCTACCTAAATGTGAGGAGACATAGCCATAGGTTCTTCTTCACCTCCATTTCAGCTTCCCCAGTCTGAGATTGTACCACGCAGGCAAGCCGGTTTGGCTCAATCTAGGTGTCTAAATGCCCTGATCGGATGACTCTTTCGTAAATTGCACAGCTGTAAGATTGTCTTATTTCATAAAGCATGGTAATATATTCAAGACCCTCATCATTTGCTCATTAGGTTGACTAGGTACACTGGCAAACCCCTTCTCTTTTCTCATTTAGGCCTGCATTGTTCATATTCAAATCGTAAAGGTTATTTTTTACTACGCGTTTGATGTAGTAAATGTAATCTCTTAAGCTTAGAGGAGCAGTGGCGTCCTATATAAGCCATAAGGGGCAAGTAAAATACAGGCTTGTGCACTTCGGGATGTTAAGAAGAATCCTGCAGGATTAGACTCAAAGCCAATGGAATCTAGCATCTGATGTGCGAACAAGATGCCTCAGGGAAGTGACATCCTGACCCATTGTGCTAAATGCACTCCAACAATGCTAAGGCAGCTGCAGTGAAGATGAGGAGAGAGAACAGGAAATCCACTCTGGGAATCTGTTTGCTCTCTGACTAGATCAGGGGTCGGCAACCTTAAACACTCAGAGAGCCTTTTGGATCTGTTTCCCACAGAAAAGAAAACACCGGGAGCCACAGAACCTACCGGGGGTTGAAAAGCTCACTAAATCATGTGCTGGCGGGTGTTGTATATTGGCAGTTGTGACACATATTTTGAGTGACAGGGAGCTGCAGTAGAGGGATGAAAGAGCCACATGCGGCTCCAGAGCATGTCATGTTGCCGAACCCTAGCCTAGGTGCTTAAACATTGAGAGAAAGGAGCTTGGGGTATGGGGTTTATCTTGGGAGTCCCCTGGCACAAATTGGAAGAGGTTGGAGGGAGATGATGTGATAGGTCTGCAGGTAGTTGAAGGTCCCGGAAGGAAGGCAACATCCTAGGGGTGAATTATTTTTATACTCCATTATTGGTCTTCTCTAGATTTTTGAGGATGAAAATAGTAGTGGGACATCCCCTCTGGAGGCAAACTATTTTTATTTCCATACATAAACATTTTCAAAACTTGCCCAGATTTGGCAGCAAAGGTTCAAATGCTTGAGGAGGGTGGAGATTGATTTTAAGCCAGAAAGGGGAATGTTTGACTCCCAAATCATCCTGCCTCCATTTCTACCTTTATTAAAATGAAACAAAACAAAAATTGTGTTGCTAAACAACGTGTGCAACAAATTACCCATCCCAGTTCTGATGCAGACAGGGAGATATGAGCGCCATACCTAAAAAGTAATGTTCATATTAGGCTATTGTCTAAAATATCCTTAATTGAAAACAGAACTTTTTTTCCAAATGAGAATCTGTGTGATTGGTAGGTCTAGACTGAGTTTTTAATAATATAACAGAAGGATCGTTATTGACTGAAACAGAATGACTAAATCATCAGAATACAAATAAAAAATGTGTCTGCATTGCTAGAACCTTTCTTCGTTCAGGATTTCTGGCTGTTTAATTTGAAGAACTTGCTTAACACCAAAAGGTCTCATTTAAATTGTTATTTCCTGGCAATTCCAAACGGCCTTTGCTTCTGTGTAAATATGCTTGGAATTGCAACCTAATTTAATAAACTGCAATGACAACTATTTATAGTTGCAATAACAAAAGTGCTTTATATTCTCAGACTGAGTTCAAGTATGTTTATGTATTTACATTATTAAGATAGATGTAGAAGAACACAATCCCAAATCAAACACATTTGCAGAACAGAAGTAAAGCTTCCTATTATCTTTTTCCATATCAAATTCTTTCTTTTCTCAAATTGCGTTCTTCTTTTCTTTCAGCTGTAAGGAATATAAAAACTTGAATTCTTTCCTTGCTTTGATTATGGGACTAAGCAACGTTGCAGTGAGTCGCCTCACAATGACCTGGGAGGTGAGTGCAGTTCTACAAGGATTTAATTTCTTCATCTGTCTTGTGTGTTACTGTTTCTTTAGAATAGCAAAGGAGACGAGGCTGGCAGGATAGGTACTTTATACTTATGGTGTTAGAGAAAAGGTACAGTAGGTTTGAGTCTGCTTGTGGATCTTTGGATATTTTCAGTGGATCATTCAAGAGATCTAATTTGCAGTTTCAAACAGCATCAAAATGATTCTTCTCTTCCCACGTATCCAAATGAATGACATTTGTCATCATTGAGAGTGATTTCTCTGCAGGTGCCTTTGGTATAATATCATCCTAACCGTGAGTCCTGATGTTTCAGTGGGGGAAAATCAAAATCACTCCAGCCTATTCAGATCTCAAATCCAGGGACTTTTTCTGGGTTAGATGTTGGACTTTTTCTCCCACATAAATTGGCAGCCTTTGCCAAGCCCCTCAGTATCAAAAACAAATTTCCATGAGGCCAGGCAGAGGACTGTCCCTTGTAAAAATAAATCTAAATTCCTTTCTAGGTGGGGCTGTTCCTGTTCTCTGTGTGTCTCTTTAGAAGTTAGTTCTAAAGTCCTCTCAGGGAGCTTAATTAATCTTAGGCATTTATTTATAGCATGGCCAACTTGCATGCTCCTGCTAACCTAGCAGCTTGAAAGTATGTAAATGCAAGTAGATAAATAGTTAACACTTTGGTGGGCAGGTGACAGTATGCTGTGTTTCTCTGCATGCTATGCGCTGTGACGTGGTCTCAGGCTGGCCACATGACCATGGAAATGTCTTCGGACAGCATTGGCTCAATGGCTTAAAGGAACAGAGATGAATACCGCCCCCAAAAGTCGGCTATGACTAGCAGAGTAAAACCTGCATGGATTCCTTTATCTATCTTTCCTTAACCCTTCATCCAGGGGCGGTATTCACTTACCTTCGTTACTGCTTCGCAAATGTGAGCGCGCATGCGCAAAGTGTCAAAAACGGAACCTTCCACGCATGCGCAGAGCGTCAAAAACCAGATGTGATGACATCCAGGTGGGTGGGCGGAGCTTCCCACTGCCGCCACTATCGGTTCGCCCGAACCGGATAGAACCGGCTGAATTGCACCACTGCCTTCATCCCTCCTTGAGGTTTACATTCTGACAAGCATGAAAGTGTCAATGCCACTTAGTGGTAACTTGTCTTGTTTTCCTATAATTTTTCGAAACCATTTTCTTAATCGCAAATAATCAACCAACAAGAGAAATAGCTAGAACGCTGTTCAGTACTGTTCTGTCAGCATGGGACATGAGTGTGGGTGTGTTATATGGTGGTGGTGATTGTTTTTTACTGCCTTTGAGTCAGCCTTGACTTCTAGTGACTGTCGGGACATGTCCCTGTCATTTTCTAGGGCTGAAAGATGATTCCAGGCCCAAAGTAAACCTTCTGACTTAAGTCAGGATTAGCATTCATACTCTCCTGATTGCTTGGCTGGCACTTTCATCCCATATTCCAAATTAGTCGCTCTACATTACTGTAGAACTTATTATTGGAAAGTGACACCATTTAGGTAATAACATAAATCTGAGTATTACGTGAGTTAGGCTTGCACTCTGCAGCATCTCTAGGAACCATGTGCAACCTTGTGGTAAACAGTAGGCCTGTAAACATTGCCAAGAAGATCTGTGAAACGATGTTGCTAGATTTATTGTACGTGGGGATGTGGTTAAAAATGGGAGCGACAAGAATGTGGAAAAGAGGCTCTTTCCTTAGAAGGCTGATGGGAAAATCCAGACTGGAATTTAATTTCCTTTGCGGCTGTTTAACTTCTGTGAACTAAGGAGCAAAACGCTCTCCATTTCCCAGGATATTTTGGGGTCTGCAACTAAATCTGCTCCAAGCTTCAGAGTTCTCTATTTATAATCTGGTTGCTAGGAAACTTGCTGTATTTTTCACTGCTGCTTTGTTGTAAATGAGCGGTGGAAGAACAAGATTTTCTACCGTCTCAGTCTCTCAGACCTGTTAGAGAACTGGGAACAAGTCACTCTGCTCCTTCATGTGAAGATGGGCAGAGTGGCTCTGCTCACCTACAAACAGGCCTGGTGGATGGTATGCTTCTGTGTCGGCATAGACAATATGAACCGGCAACTGAACTGTCCTTGTGCTTTCAGAAAAATCAAGCAATCTATATTTGAAACAGGAATTCCATGTTTTCTTTGTTTTTTACTTGGCAGAAACTTCCAAGCAAGTTCAAGAAGATCTATGCAGAGTTTGAAAGCTTAATGGTAAATGGCAATACAGATTTAATTCTATGCATGGCACATTCTGGATACATTTGATTTCCGGACTTGATTCTAAATCCTTCTACTTTCTACATTTGATGTGTCCTTGTGTGACTTTAAAGAATTTATGATCCCGTTAACAGTGCTGATAAAACAAGCATATATGACTAATAAATTACACTCTCAGGGAACCTGTTCTGAGAAAATGTCTGTCCTACTTGCAGCCGATCTGGGAAATCTAAAAAACTTCATCTTCTTTAGATATACCAACTTTAAATTTGTTCATGCGCTATTTTTACAGAACCCTAGTTTTATAGCTTATGGAGATGAATCAGCAAATGCACAAAGAAGAATGGGGAAAAAATCAGAGAATTAAGCATGTTACATTTTACCCCCACAGGGCCACTTTTGCTGCAGGTAGATGGTTAGCCCTTTTTTTTAAATTAAAAAAAACGTACTTCAGAATCTAAACCTCCTTTTAGAAAAGGTGGCTGCAATTTACATGTATTTGAATTTGTCCAATACCTCTTTCTGTCTTTTTTTTTTTAGGACCCTTCAAGAAACCATAGGGCCTACAGACTGACAGTAGCTAAACTGGAACCCCCTATTATTCCCTTTATGCCTCTACTCATCAAAGGTAACGAGCAAAAGGGGAAGAAAAGATGAATTTTAAAAATGAGATATTTTAAATTAGACATGTGATCCTGTCTCTGTAGTTTCCCAATTCATAAAGATGGAAAAATATCTCCATATATCTAAACATTAACTTATCTAGCAAATTGGATTTATGAAAATATGTTAAACAGTACTGGTTTTTTACAAGAAAATATTTCAAGTAGGTGTATTAGGGTCAAAAACACACACACACACACACACACACACACACACACACACACATATATATATATATATATGTATGTATGTATGTATGTATGTATGTATGTATGATGTATGTATGTGTATATGTATATGTATATGTATATGNTGAACCTCTTCTAACCAGTTCGGTAGATTTGACAAACCGGTTCTACCGAACTGGTGCGAACTGGCAGGAACCCACCTCTGTGCCTTAACCACTACATCAAACTGGCTCTTTGTTGCAAGCATAAAGTATGCTGGTGAAGTTAGGGATTTTTTATTCACTTTTATTCACTATTCACGTTTGGTCTGTTCACAATACTAGATTGCTCACTTGTTTACCCAAAAGAGTTGATTTCAGTGGAGAGAAATCCATTCTGTAATGTTCTGATAACATACGTGCTAGTTTAATTTTCTTCTGCTTTTCATTTTTACAGAGAAGGCGGTTCTCAAACCTCACGATGTTTCAGTGTTTACAACACTCAGTGTTAATGGACGTCTCTTTGCTTGTCCTCGTGACCAATTTGACTCCCTGGTATGTATCTTTGCTCAGTCACTTCCAAACATCTCTCAGATGAGAGACAATTCTTTCATGTTACCTTTACGCTAAATAAGATAAGAATCTCCAATTCTGCTGTAGCCAGGGGCGGGCTTCAAAAAATGGGTTCTCTGCCCGGATGCTGAGTGGGCGTGGGTTTTTGCCTTCCCCAAGCTCCAGACCCCTTCCGGGAGGCCCATTTTTCCCCCTCCCTGAGCCTCCGTGCGGTCCCTGCACTTACCTCCCATCCAAAATGGGCCATGTGAAGGCTCCTGGGAGGGGAGGGTTGGGCAGGGCCAGTCAGGGGTGGGATTTGGAGGTTCTCCGAACTGGCCATAACATTAGCTACGGATTCTCCCGAACCCAGCCGAACCTGTAGCAGCCACCCCTGGCTGTAGCTGTGCAATAAAATATCATTTGAGGCTTTGAAGAAACTGTATCTGTGCAAAAGGAGAGCAGATTTTAAAAAATTAAGTAGATTATAAATATTTACTGGTTTCATATTAGCTATCCAAACCTATTTTCTATGAATACATGGCAACAGTATGTGACTAGTTAGTGATTTACACTAAAGATTGACTTGATAAAGGCAGAACATATGACAGTGAAATATAATTTTACATTTACTATGCAAAAATTATTTTGGTTGTATAATAATTGTAAAAATGTATGTTCGTTATGACTTAAGCAGTACCGTATAGCCTGGATTCTAATAAACTGTAGGAATACAATAAATAAATATTTTGAAATAGTACCCACAGGGCTTATTATTAAAGTTGGCCACATTTGAGATATCTTTTTTAGTTGTATCCATTTCTGACTAGCTCCATATGATATAAAAGATTCTAATATTTCTAAGGAGAGTTTTGAGGTATGTACAGTATGTTATCTCCCATCAGCATTTAAGGATTTTTGAGTGAGCAGAAGACAATCCAAGTATTTTTTTAAAAAAATAGAATAGAATAGAATAGAATAATAGAATAGAATTCTTTATTGGCAAAGTGTGATTGGACACTAAGGAATTTGTCTTTGGTGCATATGTTCTCAGTGTACCTAAAGAAAAATAAAATAGAATATATTCATCCATCAAGAATCATAAGATACAGCACTTAGTGATAGTCCAGAGGTGGGTTCCTACCAGTTCGCACCTGTTCGGTAGAACCGGTTCGTCAAATCTACTGAACCGGTTGGAAGAGTTTCCACCAGTGGACCCGGAAAGCAGGCCACACCTACAGAA